TTGACGTTTAAAGTAGCTATTGATAAATATGTACTTACTGCCATTTTTTAACTTTTTTTCTTGGTGTTTTAGTAGTTCTTCTCTGTTCCTTTCTTCTTGGCTTGCTCTCTTCCCTTGTGGTTTGATGGCTTTCTTTAGTATTATGTTTGGGTTCCTTTCTCTTAGTTTTTGTGTATTTATTATAGGTTTTTGGTTTGTGATTACCATGGGGTTACTATATATACATATAGTAGTAACCTATGTATATAGCAATCTATATTAAGTTGATAGTCTCTTCAGTTTGACTTCTAGCTGAAAGCTCTACTCTTTTACTCACCTCCTCCCACATTTTATGTTTTTGATATCATATCTAACCTCTTTTTTGTGCGTTTGTATCCATTACCCTCCTATAATGGAAATAGATAATTTTTCCTATTTGTGGTCTTCTCTTTCCCCCTTAAATAAGTCCCTTTAGCATTTCTTGTAGGACTGGTTTCTTGGTGACAAACTCCTTTAATTTTTGCTTGTGTGGGAAACTCTTTATCTCTCCTTCCATTCCGAATGATAACCTTGCTGGGTAGAGTATTTTTGGCTGTAGGTTTTTTCCTTATCACAATTTAAATATATCATGCCACTCTCTTCTAGCCTGTAAGGTTTCTGCTGAGAAGTCAGCTGATAGCCTTATGGGGTTTCTTTTGTATGTAACTTGTTGCCTTTCTCTTGTGACTTTTAGGATTCACTCTTTATCTCTAATTTTGGACATTTTAATTATGATGTGTCTTGGTGTGGGCCTCTTTGGGTTTATCTTGTTTGGTGCTCTGTGCTTCCCGTACCTGGATGTCTGTTTCCTTCCTTGGGTTAGGGAAGTTTTCAGCTATTATTTCTTCAAATAGATTCTCTGTCCCTTTGTCTCTCTCTTCTCCTTCTGGGACATCTATAACACGGATGTTAGTGCGCTTGATGTTGTCCCAGAGGTCCCTTAGACTGCCCTCACTCTTTTTAATTCTTTTTTCTTTTATCTGTTCAGCTTGGGTGATTTCCTCTAGTCTTTCATCCAGCTCACTGATCCATTCCTCTGTATCCTCTACTCTACTTTTGAGTCTCTCTAGTGAATTTTTCATTTCCAGTATTGTATTCTTCATTTCTGATTGGTTCTTTTTTATTTCTTCCATTTCTTTGTTCACATTCTCACTGAGTTCATCCATTCTTCTCCCAAGATCATTGAACATCCTTATGATTCTTTGTTTGAACTCTGTTGGGTAGATTGCTCATTTCTGTTTTATTTAGTTCCTTTTCTGGGGTTTTGTCCTGTTCCCTTACTTGGAATGTATTCCTTTGCCTCCTCATTTTGCCTCTTTCCTTGTTCACGTGTCTATGTATTAGGTAGGTCAACTACGTCTCCTGATCTTGGAGAGGAGACCTTATATAAGTGATGCCTTATGAGGCTCTGCAGTGTGCTTCCCTCTCATCACCAGTTCCAAATGTTCCAGGAGTGACCCCTGTGTGGGCTATGTGTGTCCTTCTGTTGTGGCGGGGTTGCTTTTGCCATAGGTGCCAAGGGAGGCTGAGCTGTCCCCCTGGCTGGCTGGTTGTAATGCTCAGCTGTGTGTAGTTGTTGTGGGCCCTTTAGTCTCTTTATCAGGTGTGGGGAGCCCGAGCACAGTTGGCTGAAAGGTCTAATAGCACATTCCTGTCACAGTTTTTCTATTAAGTGAGTAGGCCCCCAGTGTGGTTGGTTGTTAGGCTCAGGGGCTTACAGTTGCTATAAGCCTCCAGCCTATAAGGCTCTTGTTAGCTTTCTGAGGAGCTGGGTGGTGCTGGCCTCGGGCACGGGAGCACCCAATTGTTTCAGGCTTTGGAAGGTGGGGCCCATCCCCTGTGTGTCTCTTTGAGAAGAACAAGTCTTCTGCAGCTGACAAGCCCCACCGCCCACAGGGCCACACACATAGTCAACACAGTCCTGCCATATGCTCACGCCCCAGACTCCTGAAGTGAACCCAGTCTCTCCAAGGTAGGAGCCCCACACACTCCACAAAGGCCCAACACTTTCCACCCGCTCCTCGAGCATGCCCTGTCCCACAGAGGTGGACCCACTTGCCAGGCTGCAGAGAATTCAGGCAGCTTGCTTAGCAGGCCCACAAGTTGCCCGAGGGCTTGTTGTTGGGTGCGGCCAGTCCCTAGGGTAGGCTGCTTTCCTTAGCTGAGCTGTGTTAAATTCCTGCTCTAGTAGGTGGGGCAGACCCTGGGCTAGCAGGCCACAGGGAGAACTCCAATGGCCTCTGCCAGTGTCTGGGTCAGCACGCCCACACCAGGTCACAGCAACAGCTGCCACCAAAGTCCCAGTCCCTGGAGAGTTCTCACCTCTCACCGAGATGTACCGAGAGCCTATCAGGTGAGTCTCTTTTCACCGAAGGACTGTGCACCTTTCTTTCTGGTGATTTTAGGTTGCTTTCTGAAATGGGTGAATTTGTGCTTGGGCCCTTTAAGAGCCAGCTTTAATTTCTTTGTGACTCAGCTTTTCTGGGGGTATTCCCCATTGTTATTAGTTGCCAGCAAAGTCAGATATTACGACACTGGTCTGGGTTGTGCTGGGTCCAAAAAATGCCTGTAGTGGGAGTGCTCCCCAGCTCAGGTCCCCGCTCCTCCAGGGAAGGCTGCGTACCTTTGGGTTGCTCTGGGCAGCCGTGAAGCGTTGCGGCTTGTGAAAGTGGCATTTTTCATTCCAGAAGGGAGTTTCGGCCTCTTCCACCTCAATTAGGACTGTCGTTTGCTGCAGGGGTTCCTCTTATCCAGTTTTCAGTTCTCTCTCAGGGGTAATTTTTCCAAGAGTAGTTGTAAATCTGCTGTGTCCTTGGGAGGAGGTGAGTTCAGAGTCCGCCTACATCGCCATCTTGACTTCTCTTTCCATCCTTCTTTCTGTGTGTACACTGATTCAATCTATTTTTCTGACACCTAAGAATTTACCTTAGCAGCCCGTTTCTTCCACACAGACGTTAATAACTCTAACACATAATGTCAAGAGGAAAAGTTACACACCCAGAAAATTAAAGTCATTCTGCATTTGGCTGTGGTTTACCAGGCTTTCAACTCTTGGTACCTCTTTCGTCCCATCATTAATAAGTATCTTAATGGATAAACTGTAAGACATAGTTTATACCCCAAATTCTTCAGGTTTGTGAGAGAGTCCTCAGGATTGCTTTAAAAATAGAAGTCCTGAGAAAACAACTCTCAGCATCTCTGTGTTATCACACATATTAATATCATATCTGTAAAAAGTTTTTAAGTAGATTTTAAATTTATAGCACCATTTTAAACTCAAGCTGGTTGTATCTACCGCCTAGTAGAACTTCTAAGGATACGTCAGTTCCTTTGACATCCAGGAAAAAGTTTTCCTTTCAGAATTCTTCAATCTCTTTTAAATCAGGGCAGTTTTATTTTTCAAATATCTGAAGTATGTATTTCCCCCATGAAATATTATGCTATCCTGATTGTAAAAATAGTGACACTTCCCTCCCACCTTAAAACTTAGTAAATGCCCAGAGGCTGGGGTGAAGGCAAGCCCTTCAGTAATAAACTGCGGCATTGCCGAGAGGATGAAGGGCCCCTAGCGGTCAAATCCACAAGGTCGTTTAAACCCTGGACCCAGAGATTGCACATGAGACCTTTCCTTTTCAAGATAGAGCCTTTTTAATGATGCAATTGTTTCCCCCAACCTAATCAACCTTATTGAATTTAGTGGAAGAAAACCGGAGAGTGGCCAGTATTTAATTAATCTACAAGCTAGATGGGGAATCAATTTGCCTTTCTCACAGCATTCACCCTGAGGGATAACTCCTAATGGACAACAGGATTCCTAACAAAGTCTAGTTTATCTCAGCAGCCCAGCTAGAGAAAGACAGAAGAACAGCCAGTAGAACTGTTGGTGACCATTTCTGAGCGCTAGTCAGATGTGGTTTCACGTGCCCCATGAAAACACCCTGGTGTCTCTCCAACACCAGAACATGGTCAAGGTGCAGGAGGTGAACCGCATCTGTGTGGACTGGAAGAAAGGTGCCCAAACCACCTACATGCAGGCCGCCAACAATGTGCGGGTGGTGGGTGCCCAGGTGGCCCAGATGCTCAGCATGCTCTCAGTGAGTCGGCCGGCTGGGCTGGCGAGGAGGCAAACAGCACCCACTGGTCTCTGTTGGGTAAAGATGCAGCTGGGAGTTATCTATTTAAAGAAGAAATAGAAAGAATTGATATTTCTCTCAGTGTCCTACTTCTAATACTCTGAAATTCACCTTAATAATGACACACCAGAGAAAGGAAAAACCATAATAGCCAACACTTAGAAGGGGGTGCTTTTATTATCATCTTCAATTGGCACATAAGAAAACCAAGGCCCAGGAAGGTTAACTAGTTTGCCCAAAAAATCGTAGAGCAGGTGAATACAAGTGTTGTCTTTTGGGCCTAGACCATCCAGCTCCAGGGCACCCCACTGCCCAGCCCACTGCACCAGGCGATCTCTGGGGTAAAACACAGCATCGCCAGGAGAGCCAAATGGAAACAAAGGGAGTATATGCAATTCAAGAATTCCTTTTACTACAATCAATTCAGCTGTTTCTTCCTGCCCTGGTCTTTCATTGTAGCTAATTCTCTAAGGCTTTAATTCTTCCAGTTAAGTCACTAATTCTTCATGACTATTTTCTATACCAGATAAAGGTGCTGGTCATTTCTGTCTTATGGTTAAATGGTCTACAAAAGAACCAATTGGTTCTAACTATTTCTGCATCCCTGTGGAAATCAAAACCCATGATGTTTGTACTAGAGGCACGAGAGACCAATAAATGAGTACATGTGGGTGAACATTTTTGAGACCAACATGTGTGAACCCCTCGTAGCTCTGTGTCATTTACTTATTCACCCAATATTTTGGATGAACACAGTGGCACAGTGGCAGGAGCTGTGGTAGGAGGTAAAGAGGAGGGAGGAGGTCCAGCCTTGGAGGAGGTTCCAGTGAAGACTTGCGATGACAGCAGAGTGTGATCGGGGTTCTGATGGGGGTGGGAGTGCAGGGCTCTATGG